CGGCAAGGTGTCCCAATACCTGCCAGCACTCACGACTTCAACTCCACTAACAGCCTTACATAGATCAACGTAAAAGGCTACTCATTGTTATCCCTTTGGCCCAAACAAAACCAACCGAATCACATTGGGGTTCACCCAAGCTCTTGTTCTAGAAAACTCAGGAAAAGTCCTGTAGATATAGGAGCGGAAGAACTTCTGCCTCCCGCGCGTCTCTTACGCCTGCGACTATACTCCTGCTCTCCTTACTAGTACCAAGTACGAGGTTCCGATAAGTGCTGAAGAGTTTGCTAAACAAAGCATGGGTGCAAATCGAACCTCCACAGTGTGTACTTCTCAAATCTTTCGGCGCGCGAGCACCACAATTGTGTATTGGTTTGGAAAACCAGACACCATGTCCCAACCAATGAAGCACCAGCCTTGGGCCTCAATCAGCGATTGGCTGGGCTTGGTGTTACGACAGCAACTCGGCCACCAATAGCATCGATCGACGGCACGCGCCTCTTGTGATCGTGCGCAGACAATCGTTGTAGTGCACTCGTGCGAGTTCCCGTTTCGATTTTTTTTGCCGCTCTTCATCTCTGCCACTCCTCTACTTGAGTCGATCGATTGACTGATTGATTGGTCAATTGAGTGGTCTGTCAGTGCGCATGGATTTCTCCATTTCCCAGTTCACTGGGGAGGCGGGCATCTCGGAAGCTAAGGCCTCACCATTAGCATTGGTAAAGAATGATTTTGCTAACACTGATGCTGGAATCAACTATACGTCCACCACTGAGGCTGCTGAGCTCTTTCGACATCTGCCTACTAATATGTACACTAATATCGTGTCCAGCTACCCTCGATCTGAGGCCTTTTCGCGAACTTGTTTTCCATGCGCTCATATTAATTCTAATATGACAACGACAACTTCGGGTGGAGTGTCTTTTTTCCCCTATGTTGAAACGATTGATCAGCAGCCATCACAATTACAACACCGGCAACAACAAGTTGGAGAGGCTGAGCGTCTGAAACCGGTGTGTTCCGCCGACCAGATGCCTCCTAGATCGGGAAATGAGCAGACCTGTTACTTTTCCACTGAAACACAGGATTATGTAACAGAAAACGAACAAATGGTAAGTGCAAATGAGGCTTACAAATACGAGACTTTGAACAACTTCAAAGATCCCGATGATGAGGAAGAGGTTCTTTCGACTCACATGGATGAAGCCTTGCCTGATTGGACAACGGGTTCAGCCATGATAAACACGTCTGCTGAGGGCTTGGTGCACTCTACAGAGGTGTCTAGAACCTCCACGACTCAAACCTTCACTTCAGCAGCTGAACAAGAAGGTCTCTTAGATTGCTCAAATCGCAGCTCGGATTCCAAGACCTATGACGAAACTGGAGGCGACTATTGTTCCACTGATCAAAGTTTAGGTGTCTCTCAGGATCAGCACCCCCAAGTCCAAAGTACCGATCACTCCTTCCAAGAGTCAACCACGGTCTTCATGACTCCTGGAATCGCAATTTCAGCCAATCAGCAGCCAAACTATCCACCAAATAGAACTTGTACTCAGCCAAATCTCATGCCCCCAATGTTGTCCTATCGGTATCTCTCTTCTGGTTTCACGGGCGATCAAAATACCACACCAATGGAGGGAATTGCCCCTCAAAACTTTGTGTTTACTAACCAAAATGCCACATCTATTAACCCCTACACCGGTGACTTTGCCAATCCCCAAGCTCTGGGAATGTCTTCCGAGGTGATAGAGGGTTCTATCGACAAAGACCTCTTCGCCCGTGAGTATGTCTTTGGTAACATCACTTTTATTACCCTTTTTGCATTCCCAAAGTTAGTAACATGGTCTCAAATTGCACACGACCATTGAATTTCGCGCTGATGGAATTTTATCGATTGTTTGCACCTGGGGCTTATTTGCATGCTGGGAAATCGATTTTTGGTGTCACACAAAGCGGACAGCTGAGCAGAAATCAGGGGTCCGAATTGGGTTGGTGATAGCGGCATCCTTTTTCATACCTTTTATCTTTTTCA